GCAAGTCACATGATCTCTTGAAGCTCTCATCGTCACATTCGACCACCAAATTCTGGCTTGATCTCTTAATAACGAAACTGCACCATCCAATTTCTCCATTTCAGAACAATGGAGATTCTCTAGCATAACTTTCAAATCATAAAGCCACATATCAGTGACAACCGGACCTTCTTCAGTTTCTCCCCTAAATTCAGGCTCTCCTAAATTTATCAGCTCTTTAGGGACATTGATCTTAGGCGCTGAGGAGATAGACGGTTGGAAACATGTCAGGATCGTGTCCAACATTTGAAAGAAAGTCCCCTAATCTTGCACAGACACTCCAGGTTGTGTCTGCTCCTCACCCTGCCTGCTCGGGACAGGTGAGTTACTACTCTCTTCTATCCTATCTCTCGCATCACTTCGGGAGCCTTCAAAGTTGGAAATCTATTAAAATCAATTTACTAAAGGTATTAGCAAGGATATCATATTAATCACCTTATCAGATCAAAAAGACTTTATTAAAAGTTGGCATGTACACTTTTTAAAACAAAAAATAACTTCATTTCGAACTTAAAATCACTTAAATCATAGCTCTGATACCATTAAATGTAACACCCCTGACCCGTATCTAACCCAAATACGAATCTGAGATGTCACGTTTGACTTTTCAAAACATGTGCAATTCACAAATATGAACCCAAATTAAAATTTTAAATCAAAATAAAAAGGTATAAACCTCTTCCTTAAGATAATCATTTCACATACACTTTTACATAAAAACTTAATAATTTACATAAATACCAAAATATTGGAGTTTACAAAATAGATCAGAGCATTTGCAAATTAAACGCTTAAAACATGCCAACAGTTACAAAATTACAAAACACCTACATTTAATTTATTTTGATCTGATCTTCAAAGATATACACTATCCCCACTAACTTCACTCGTTTGCTTTCTTCAAACCTACGCGTAAGAAAATCACACGCTAAGTCGATGACTTAGTGAGGCAATACTAATAGTGCTAACTTAGTAAACAAAATCTTATTTGTTTTATTCAAAATGTTTTACAAAGAACTCTTATTATTTTTCATATAAAAAATATACTTATAACGAGTTTAACTTTGTATATCTTTGTTTCAAATACCCAAGGTATATTACTGAGAACACTAGGTATTTGAGTACATTGAGGTTGTGCACTAATGTTGTCATCACAGCTCGTAATTTGCACCGAAATGCTACATAATTATCACGAATGACCACATAAGTTTACACCGAAATGCCACATAGGTTTGTACTGAAGTGCCACATATTTATCCCGAAGGATCGCATAAAACCCTCGACTATTGGCATGCCAACTATACCTTTAATCCTTATACATATACTTTGGGTTATTACTCACATAATTATGTTCAATCATTATTCGAAATGTTTCTTATTCACGTAGTTTCTCTTTTCATAGAGTCTGTTCACATTCACTGGTTCATATTTCCATAATCGTATGATCATAAAACATAACTTGTATAATATAACTTGAATAAAATATTGAAATATAACATAAAGAAATTATAACGTTTTCGATTGAAAACACTGAGGTTGGCTTATCGCAAGCCTTCCTCAATTCTATTGAAAAACCAAGAAGTTGCACTCACCTTTGCCTCACAGAAGTTCTAATCCAAATCTTTAACACCTTTCGATTTGATACTTAATACGTCGAGTTGTCGGAAGTTGAATAAGATCAATCACTACACAAAACAATCGGATATCATTATCGTTCTTCGAATCGATTATATCTAATCATAATAACTTGGAATGCAAGAAACTCTTTCTTCTATTTCATGCCTAGAAGTATCAGTACTACCCCTAAGTACCGATACTTCCCTTCAAGGGTATCGATACCTCTTCAAGGTACCGATACCGAAATAACATTTTGTAATTTGCTTCTTAATAAGGGTATCGATACCATCCCCTGATATCGGTACTACCCTTATAGTATCGATACTCATCTCAACTGGTATCGATAGTACTATCACAGTATCGATACCCTCCTCAACGGGTATTGATACTACCCTTAGAAAATATTCATATTTAACCCATGAAGTATTGGTACTGTTCTAACGGTATCGATACTCAAAGCCCAGAATGATAATTTTCTCTTCGAAAATTAACCCAAGATCTTCCCAAATCTCTTATATTCATCACCCTCAAGCTTTAAAACTTACCCTTATACTTCCACACCAATTAGTATTCATTTACTACTCTTAATTATCTAAATTCCTGTTTGAACACTTGAATCTTAAAATCATACCAAAATTTTAAATATGTTTTTAATCAATTCTAACACTCCTAACTCTTAAGTTGGATCATTGAGAAGTCAAATATCTCAACAAAACTTCAAAAACCACTCCATATCAAAATTTCATTTCAAAACTCATTTTATAAATTCATCTCTAATACACACTCATCTTGTTGTTTTAATCCTATATAAGCTTTCCTTAAGCTTATATAACACCCCTACTTCCACTACCAAACCAAAAATTAAAGGAAACCACAAAATTCAGATTCTTACCCTGTGAATGGAGCTCACGTAGAAGAATAAGAGATAAGAAAATGGTTCCAGACTTCATTTTTCTTTCTTCCCAAGACCCACGTGTATATCTCCCTTAAAAAGGAAGATAAAATCCCTCTTGGAAAAGACCATATTGCCCTCTTCACTAAACCAAAATTTCCATTAAGCTCTTCACATAAATTCCACTATAAATCCTTGAATTTAATGATTTATTCTAATTCAAACACTAAGTTTAGAATTTTTACAATTTGACCACTGACCCGATTATTGGGATGTTACAGATTGATATATCTTAGATTAAGCATATGGACTTGGGATACTCTTGTGGAAATTTTGCAAATGTTCTTGCAAGGATGTAGCAACTTGGTGCTTTTTTTAATATAAATATATAATTTATACAAAAAAATTATTATTGCATTATCAAATTTTTGTGTTAGAATTTGATTATGGGTAGCCTTTTGTTACGATGATGGAATGTTTATATGTTGGTTCACCAAAAGACAAATGGGGTTAAAAAGATTCCAACAGAAATTACATTTGTCGTTGCCTGAAACAACAATGGTAGACACCAGACAAGAGATTAGGGAACCCTAATGATGGTATGGGCAACTCAACAAAAATATGTATGTTTCCATTGCTTTGCCTTCTTATAGCTTAACCCAAACATAATTTGGTTGACTTTTCAGACAATGGGATTTTACTGCAATCATAAGGGACAAAAAAATTTAGGACAATTAGATGACTAAAAATAAATGAAAAAGATTAATAAAAAAAGAGAATATATTCATTAGAAAAAAATAATTAATTAATCCTAATCGTTAATTTTCATTCATATATCCATTAGTCTCAAACTATACAAATCTAAAAGAATTGTATGATAGATCTTAACATATATAATATTTATATATACAGGTTGATGAAGATGATTTGGGACGAAGGCAAAGGCCTAAATAAAGTTCATTTAAATATTTTTGCTTATATTATCATCATCATTATTATTATAAAATACATGTTTTGTTTTCTGTAAAGTGGATGGCTGTGGTTTAATCATTTATTTAGGTTTAGATAGAATATAAATAGGGACATAAAATTTTATATTAAAAATATAAATATTTAAGAAATTATATTATAAATTTAAATCATATAAAATTATAAAAATTTTAAAACATACAATTATATTACGAATAAAAAAATTACGACCTTTTTAATACTCCTTTCGATCCATTCCTACTAGAGAGATTTGTTTATTTACAACATTATCATTATTGGGCGGGTAGTGTAATAATATTAAAATACTATAGAAACTGACGTGGTGACAGTGCATGTGGGTGGTGGTCTTTGTCATTACAGTGGGCCCAGGAGGAATATATTGTTGATGAAATCCATCCATCAAAAACAATGATCAGACGGTTGTCCAACGTCTGTGACTCAAGGCATTTGTCAGTTTAGCATTCATTGTTAAAGCCAAAAGAGCTGTCACAACTCACAAGTTGGTACATTGAATACGATGTTTGCATTGACTTTTTTAGTTAGCTTGACATCAGATCTGTACTTGTTTTTACATAACATGATCCAACGGTGGGCTGGATGTTTGTATTTGAAGGAAGCGGTGGGACTCTAGCAATATTATCAAAGAGGTGTTCAAAGTAACGTGAATTGACTTTTTATGAAAATGTTAAATTCTGGTTTTGAACCCTCAACTATGACTGACTTTGAGGTTTAGTCCATATATAATTTGATCTTTTATTATATCATTAATGGTTAACTATTCCAATTAAAATGCCTTTTTGAATACTTATCACTATGATGGGTTGAAAATGATGATTCTAAGTAAAATATACTTTTAATATTTAAACTAAAATAATTAACGATCTTACATAATCAGATTAATTGTCAACATTGTAAATCTAGGATTTGAATCATGATGTCATGAATGGAGTAAGTTAGATTAGAAGGATCATCCATATAATATGTCTCTCGATATCATATTTGTATTAATTGAACGATGGGTCTTAATCGTATATGAATCGTTAGATCGATAATTTTTTTAATAATATGAAGTGATTATAAAATAGTATTTGTTCAGAATTTTTCTTAACTATTGACAACACACACTTTATAGACGTAGCTGCTTGAAGCCAAAATCATCTAGGGAGAACAACACTTCCTTTTACTGCTAGGTTACTCAACGGATTCTATGCCAACAAATTATAACATTGTAAAAGAGAGTGATCAAATCATAGCAAATTAAAGAATAAAGTACTAAACCCTAAAATTGATCATAATAGAGAGATCAAAATTATAATTTGACCAAAAATATCGAAACCCTATCAGCCTCTATTTGTGTTATAAATACGTGGTGCGTTGCATTTCTAATTTATCCAATCACTCTAAACTAGGCTACCCTTTGCTCCGTCCGAGTCCTCCCCATCATATCGTCATCCTCTTCTGCAATCTTCAAACCGTTAGTTCATTTTATTTTAATCTGCAACTCACATGCGCGTGATCTTCCATTGTTTCTGAGCTTTCTGTTCTCTTTCATTTGAAGCTGGATCGGTTCGTTCTCACTCTTCCTTAACTATACCTTTATAAAAACATATCAAGCATGTAAGTTTCGCCCTTCCTAGTTCAAATCCTGTTCAAAAACACTCAAAAAAAAAAAAAAATCTTGAATTTCCATGCAAGTAGTTGAAGTTTTTGGTTTATCTATCTAGGTAGCTGTAGTTTGTAATCTGGCTATTTTCATCCCTCCTATTCCTTAGCCAAACTTTTATAAAAGCCTGCACAGCATGTAACTCAGTGTTTCCATCTCTTCAATTACAAAAACCAAAAAAAAAAGGTATATAGGATCTGTAGTTTATACCATAATGTTTCCATAGGATTTGTTCATAGTCTTGTTCTTGATTCTTGCTGATCGTGGCGAAAATTAGAACAACCGTGTAGCTACACCTTTATAAAAGCTTTCGAATCATGTAACGGTCGTTTTCTCCTAGCTACCGTTTGAATATCAATTCTTAAAAAAAAAAAAAAAAGGTTTGTTTTAGTGAAGAAAAGATGCCGGACGAAGAGACCGCAACCCCTACTGCATCAGCACCGGCGACGCCGGGAACGCCGGGTGGACCGCTGTTCACGTCGATGAGGGTGGACTCGTTGTCTTATGATCGGAAGTCAATGCCTCGATGCAAATGCTTTCCTGTGACTGCCCCGACATGGGGACAGCCTCACACATGCTTCACCGACTTCCCAGTGCCTGACGTCTCCCTTACCCGAAAGGTGCGCCGCCGCTCTCTTTCTCTTTCTCCGGTGATTTTTTAATCAATTATTATGGTTTCGGTTTCATATTGAATTCAAATGGCAATATATTAAGACTGAATTACGTCAAATATGATAAAGCATATGGCAGTGTCTGCTAGGTGTTTACTTGTTACCTGCATTATATAAGCCTTTGCATCAGGACGGGCCCTACTCCATAGAAATGAGTTCATCTAGCATAATAAATTATTAGTTTATCAACGAATCAATTGATCCAGTCAAATAAGACAGCAGCTTTCTTAAATAAAATTAAAAATTTAAATTCTTATGAGTGATACCAATTAGATTAAGAGAATTATTCCCATAATCGATTTATCTACTATAAACTAATTATATGGAATTTACAATAATATACTTGCAATAATTTGATCTAATGAGATAGATATTAATATTTTGAGTAAGATAAAAATTTTCAATATTTAAAAACGATACAAGGTGGATTGAAAGGGAACCCTATAATCGATTTTGTAGTATCTACTCTAAATTAATTATAGAGAGTTTACAATAATATATTTATAATCAATTGGTCTAATATGATTAGATATTAGATTCATTAATAAAGCTAAAGATTTGAATCCTTAAAATGATGCAAACTAAATTAAGAGAATTATCTCTGTAATCTATCTTTGTAGTACATGGTCTAGGAAATTCACACCAATGTGCTTGTAATTAAAGATGTATGGTAAATTATGAAACAATGACTAGCACAAATTACAATGGTGTACGGATTTATATATGCAGCTGGGGGCAGAATTTGTGGGAACCTTTATCCTGATATTTGCGGCAACAGCCGGACCTATAGTGAACCAGAAATATGACGGAGCCGAGTCACTGATCGGAAACGCCGCATGCGCAGGGCTGGCCGTGATGATAATAATTTTATCGACCGGACACATTTCTGGGGCTCATCTTAACCCTTCCCTTACCATTGCATTCGCTGCATGTCGTCATTTCCCCTGGACTCAGGTTCCGGCCTACATAGCGGCTCAGGTTTCGGCCTCCATTTGCGCTTCCTTCGCTCTCAAGGGAGTCTTTCATCCCTTCATGTCTGGTGGTGTCACGGTCCCCTCCGTTAACTACGGACAGGCTTTCGCACTCGAATTCCTCATTACTTTTAATCTCCTCTTTGTCGTCACCGCCGTCGCCACAGACACTCGCGCCGTAAATTCTTCTTTGCTCCATCAAAATAACATTTCAGATTGGAAAAAATGGAATTCCATGATTGAAAGTAATCAAACATGTTTATGTTACAGGTGGGAGAGCTGGCAGGAATAGCTGTTGGGGCAACAGTAATGCTCAACATCCTCGTCGCCGGGTAAGAGTCAAATCCCTTTACTTTGCCGTAAGATAAATTCAGGAACAACATTAATATTTTAAGTTTTATAATAAAAGATAAATCTATAAAATATTATACTTCAAAATTTATCATAAAAATATAAAAAAATATTAACATACATAAAAATTTAAAATTTTCAGAAAAAACTATCTCGATCATCTTCTCTATCCATTAGTGAAAGAATTAATGATCAAGAAATGTCAAATGGGATTATGATATATTTTATATAACTTAATTAACTTATTCAAAAGGTCAAAAGTTGTAGTTTTTAATAACAGTAATACGCATGTTATTAATGGGAATAATTATATTTTAATAAGTCTGACTAATTTGCCAACTGTGTCAATAATGTTCATTAAAATAACCTTCAAAACAATTCTCCATATTTGTAATAAACTTTTTTAAAATAAAATTATTGACAAAAATTAATTATTAATTTAGACAAGAGACATGAACCGGCCATTATTGTAAATTTGATGTGACACGTTGAAAGTATTTTGTAGCTAGCAACCGACCGACCACGCCGTGGTACGCAGATATTATATATGAGACTCTTAATTTGCTAGTGATTTGATGGAGTGTGAAGGTGCTATTCAATAATTTAATTAGGGATAAGTATTTAATTGAATTAAATAATTTTTAAATTGATTGAATTAATGAATCATATTTTAAATTGGTTTTTAAATTTTTAAATATTTTAATTTTATCTTTAAATTATGACTTTCAATCTATATTGATCTTTAAACTTTAAAATATTTCAATTTAGTTATCAAACTATGACTCTTATTCAAATATGATCTTAATTTTTTTAAGATTTTAATTTAAATATGACTTTAATTTTATTTTTGTTCTCTCAAAGTTTATAATTCTTTTTACATTTCAAAGTTAAACCATTATATTATTTAAATCAATGTTGAGTATCATTTATGCCCATCTTATTATTACTTAATACATATGTGTGTTTACATGACAGTTATAACAATTTTTTTAACAGTGAATGTAGTTAGTATATATTAATAGTTTGAGGATGAAATTACAAGTTAAGTCAAATTATTTAACATCGAATTGAGACAAAAGTTTATTTTTTTAGTGGAGTCTAGTTTTCTTACGCCGAACATTGTGTTGCAGGCCAAGTAGCGGGGGTTCAATGAATCCAGTGAGGACATTGGGGCCTGCAGTGGCAGCAGGGAGCTACAAGGCATTGTGGATTTACTTGATAGCGCCCACACTGGGAGCCGTGATCGGTTCCGCCACTTACACCTTGGTGAAGCTCCGAGAGGATGAGGTTGAAGCACCGAGCCAGGTCAGGAGTTTCCGACGCTAGCCGATAATATCATCATTGTGAAATGAAATGAATGAATGTTTTGTTTGTTTGCTTGTGTGATTGTGTTTGGGGAATAATAGGCGATGTGACGTCTAAGTCGACGCCCTACAGTAGTTTCGTTGAATTATTATGGTGTGCTTTGGTTTGTTTGGACATGAATGTGTTTGTGTTATGGACCAGTCTGGAACTTGGTTGGTTTTATTTGTAATTTCCTTTTTGCATTGTCAATAATAAAGTTTGTCATGTGTGATATTGTTTAACTGGCTAGCCTTTGGTGTTCTAAAACCTAATCTTTTAGATGAGAATCAAATCACTTTATCACAAAGTGGTTTAAGATTCTTTAACTATAATCTTTAAGATCATTTTATCATTTATCACATGTTATGGAGAGTACGTTATAAAATTTTATAGGACGAAAATATCAATAAAAATATTTAAAATATATTATAATTTAAAATTTTTAAGGGGACTACCTTCAACCATCTCTCATCCCTGATCTGAAAAATGTAAGAAAAATGGTAGTGCATTAATATCCACTCAAGATACTACCTTGAACCTAAAGTTGTTGATTGAATTAATCCGACCCACTAGATGGACAGTATTTTTTTTTTATTAAACTAGATGAACAGTAACGCCTGCAACATGCTACCATTAAAGCAAACGGCTTGCCGTAAATCACTAAAATAATCCGATTACCATATCAACGTTCATGCACATGGAATTATGTTCCGTCTGCAACTAAGAGGCAGTCGACAGCAACCCTTACGTGTGAGAAAACGCAGCACCAAAATGGCATCCAATATCGAAGAAGCATTTACTATACCCTAATTCCTCCTCTTTTTGTCGCTTTCATTTCATCAGGGAAGCAAACAAATAAAGATTTTCTGAATTCTCTCATGCATCTTTTTGACCAGTAAACACAACTTCTTGTAATAAATGTAGCATTCACATTGAACCTAAGGCTTGCCTCCCAAGTCCCAAGAGATTCTGCAGATCCCACAATTTCGTGCAAATTATATACGAGGGAGTGATCTTATCTCAAGCAGGAGCATATTTACTGCATAATAAATAAACAACAATCATTTTACAGTTGAAACCAAGACGAAAATGACACTTCTCGGCCCAAGTGCAACACAAAAGCCCTTTAGCAAAAAATCTAGCTTAAACCAACAGGATTGTGCACTAACTTGCAGGAGTTGCAGCCACTTCACCCCCTCGATGAAGTCAAGTTCAATCAAGTAAAAGAACTAACTTGAAATTGTTGGAGAGGGAGTGGATAATGGACTAGGAAAGATTTAAAGAGATGATTGAGTTCTATTAGAATCTTTATACAGAGTCCTTGCCTAACATTTGTGTTCCAACCTGTGACCCAAATTCTATTTGGTCCTGCCTGACAAGTTTGCCATACGACATGCTTAGTGAAGAAATAATCTTGATTATCATAGAATTTTTCAAGTAAATTTTTGTGTTCTTTTTGTTGTTTACTGTCATTATAATCCTGATTATCGTAACACAAACTATAGAGTGACTTTTCAGCCACCTGAAGCTACGAAATCAGAGTTGCTACACATATATGTTTCATATTAAGAGGTTCATGATGTATTGTTTAGTGCGACTCCATATAAAGCTTCGGGTCCGGTTGGTTTTCAAGCTTGCTTCTTTCAAAAGAACTGGGAGATTTGTGAAAGGGGAGGAGACCCTACTCCTCCGTAAGGCTTTTAAAAAATGGATTGTTCGGTGGACATTAATAAAACCTTTATTACTTTGGTGTCAAAGGTTCATCATCCTGAAGCAATTAGTAAGTTGCAGCCAATTAGTTTCTGTAATGATCTACAAGATTATTTCCAAGGTAATTACCTTGGTGTCAAAGGTTTTGGGAGTATCATCCCTATAACACATATTTTGAATTAATTGATCAATATGTTAGATACCGATAATTAATCTAAAAAATATTATTAGATATTTTTCTTAACAGAAAGACTAAAACCATAATGTAAACATCCAATTCCGTCCGAAGATTTTTAAATTAAATTCATGGTGGTAAAAAGTAACGTACGTGAATTAGTTCGGGTTGCATGAACAAGTGAATCAATGGAGTCTTAAATTGGTAAAATTTGTATAGAGTGAACAATTAGTTCGGGTTGCATGAACAAGTTTTTCAAAGTTCAATTTCAATCCTTAAAAGTGAAAAATTGTGATTCATACTTAAAATATTTTTGAAACAATTTTTACAAAGTATTTCGAACCAAAATCGAACCAAAAATCAAATTTACAAAGTGATGTACCGTTGCACTACATTGATGCATCGATGCACACCCATTTCGAATGCATTTTGTGTAGCGATGCACATGCCATGTATCGATGCACTCTTAAATATTTTGAACATCGAATACATTTTGTGTACCGATGCACAGACCATGCATCGATGCACTCCAGGCTCATTTAAAACATCGAATGTAATTAGTGCACCGATGCACCCCTAGTGTACCGATGCACTAAGTCTTCCAACGGTCGAAATATTTGAATTTTACACATAGTGTACCGATGCACCTTGGCTATGCATCGATGCACCATACGCTCCCAACTGTTTTATTAATTGTTTTCACAGAATAACGACTCTATTGACTCCATTAATGATTCCCAACGTTCAGAAGTGATTCAAGGAGTATTTAAACAAGCTTAGGAGCCATTGATCAACAACAATCAAGAAGAAAAAAAGAGAGAATCAAAGAGAAAGCCTTAAACTTATTGTTTGAGCATTTCAAAGCCTATTTTTCATTCAATATTCATTTTGCTTTCAAGAACACCATTTGCGCTCTATTGTATTTATCATTGAGTGTTCTTTCTTTATTCTAAACTTGTGCAAACAATCTACCTTATGAGGTTTTTCTTGTAAGTTTGTGTATTTCTCTTTGGGAGAGAGTGTTCTCAAGAATTTGGGGTATAATTCTTGAGGGAGTTGTAAGGTTACTCTTTGTCCTCAAAAGAAAGAACAAATTAGTGAATTTGTTGGAAAATCCTTAGTGTGGATAGCTAAGGTAGTGGACGTAGACTTTGGTTGAGAAAGTCGAAGCACTCTAAATCGTTGTGCAATTATTTTCAATTTTCTGCAAAAGCTTCCACCAAAATTTTTATTGCCAATTCACCCCCTCTTGGCCAATTCGTCGATCGATTAACTCAATAATTGGTATCAGAGCCTCACTCATTTGAAGGTTTAATTGCCTCTTGAGTCGATTCGGGAAGATTTATATCGATATTCAAGTCATCAATGGCCTCTACTTCAAACTCCGACTTCGGTCTTGATTCTATGCCTATCAATAAGCCTCTTTTCTTCAATGGAGCTAATTATGCTTATTGGAAGAATAGAATGAGGTACTTCATTCAATCAAGTGACATGGGAGCATGGAATATCATAGAAGATGGATATTTCATTCCTTCTACTCATTCAAGATTATGGAGTGAAGCAGAGACAAGAATGTTCCAGCTCAACTCAAAAGCTATCCATATTATTTTTTGTGCTCTTGGACCGGATGAATACGGAAGAGTCTCATCTTGTACAACCGCTAAGGAGATATGGGATAAACTTCAAGTCACTCATGAAGGCACAGATGAGGTAAAAAAATCTAAAATTAGTCTTCTAAATCATAGCTATGAAAATTTCAGGATGAAATCGGATGAAGATATCAAAGCTATGACGGATAGATTTTCCACGATTGTCAATGGTCTCAAATCATGTGGAGAGATCATTTCAAATGAAAAGCTTGTGAGGAAGTTAGTTTACTCTCTTCCAAAATCTTGGCAATCAAAGAAGACAACAATCATCGATGCTAAAAACTTAAAGTCTTTAACTCTCGAAGAGTTAATTGGTTCTCTCATCACTCATGAAATGATGCTTCAAGATGAGGTAGACCTCGAGAAGATTGATGAGACAAAGAAGGAGAAGGAGAAAAAGAAGAATGTGGGAGTTGCTCTCAAATCCACAAGAGATGAGAGTGATTCGGATGAAGATGACGATAACGAGGAAATGGCATTATTTGCCAAACGGTTCAGAAAATTAACGAGGCTCAACCGAGGAAGAAAATTCAAACGAAACGAAGGCTTCAAAAATGAATCAAATGAGAAATACCCTATTATTTGCTATAAGTGCAAAAAGTCGGGTCATGTCAAATACGATTGCTCGCAATTGAAGAAAAAGGGTCAATCCAAGAAGAAACACAAGGCTCATGTGGCTATATGGAGCGATGAAGAAGGTTCTGATGAAGAGGAACAAAAAGTGCTTAATAGCCATCGGAGAAAATTCTCAGGTAACCTCTAACTAATTTGATTCAGATGATTTATCTTATGATGAGTTATTAGAGGATTATAATGGGTTGGCTTCAGATTATAAGACTTTATTTTCAAAATACAAAAATGATATTTCAATCCTGAAAAATGAAAATAGTCTTATGACCAAAACCAACAATGATCTTGAAAGTAAGATTAAAGAATTGCAAATCAAAATTGAAGATTTTGAAAAGAAAAATAATGATTTGCATAACTTCCTTTCAAAAGTTCATGACGATCATCAAAAGAAAATTGATGATCTTAAAGCTTCTTTTAATAAAGTTGAACCAAAATGTTTTGAAAATGGAGAAAGTTCAAAAATCAACTTTGTTAGAAAAAGTTTTAAAAACTACTATCATAGAGGTCCCCGAAGAACCTCAAATGGAAAAATCATTAGAAGTATATGGGTTCCTAAAGAACTCATTACTACTAAAGATAAGAATATCATACACAAATGGATATCCAAGGGGACTAGGATTTTGGAGACTAATGAATATGGACCCAAAACAAATTGGGTACCAAAAATAAAATTTTAATCTATGTTTGTAGGAAAATGAGCATTGCTACAAGGCACGGGAAACAAATTCAAACTCATGGTACCTTGATAGTGGATGCTCAAGACACATGACCGTAGACAAAAACCAGTTCATAGAGCTTAAAGACAAAAATGGATGAGAAGTGACTTTTGGTGATAATTCAAAAGTTCACATTGAAGGTATAGGTACAATAGGT